TTTAGCTGGAGACACCAGAGGCATAGTCTTTCCTGGGTTTGTTGTGTAGCCTACAGCCCTAGAACAAAGGAGCCACAACTTAGCATCTGGGTTCTCTTATGCTTCCTAACTGTGTGCCCTTGAGCAAATTATTCAAACTTTCTGAACGTCAGGAATAATTACAGTACTTAACTCATAGATCTATTGGGAAATCCCGTAAAACGCTCAGAGTGCTGCTTGGCACAAAAGTCTCAGGACAGCCCAGCCCTTACAGCTAGTAAGTAACAGAACCCGGACTAACGCCCAGGTCTCTTAATTCTGTGTCTATTGTTCTTGCCACCATGTCACAAGGAACAGTTCTTGAAATGGGGGCGAAAAATACACATACTACCCCACTGGTCTGACACTGGCACAGACCCGCGCACAGCAGGTGCAACACGTAGGCCGCCAGAGCAGTGACTGCTCGGCGTCCGCACGCGAGGTCCTCCCACGACTTCAGCTGCAATGTTACGCGCCTGCGCACTGGGCGCAGCGCGTCCTCTATGACTTACCCAGCAGGCAACGCTTCCCTCTCCGGTCAAAATGGCGAGCAGGTCTACCGGTAAGTAGTTGATATCCTTCCTGGTGAGCATCGCTGCGTTAAACCTTTCATGCTCACAGCAACTTGCTCCTCTTCCTCTGATCACTCTTAAGTAGCCACATTTGGCACTAAGGGAGGATGGCAGCTACGGCCCAGTCAAAAGAAGTGTTTCCCATACCCCTTTGCTGTCCCCAGGCCGGACTCGCGTAAAGCATTGGGATGGTTTACCTGATCTTTGTGAAGGTGCACGCCTTGTCTCTGACGGCCCTGCGTTCCAGCTGCCTGTGCTCTGCATTCTTTCCTCACTGCCGTAGAAAAGTGCGACCCGAAACTCTCAAAGGGGCACAAGGAGGTGATGGGCGACTTAACCAAAATGCACTGAGTACTTAAAATGCGTCAAGCGCTTTCATTTGTATAATCTTGTTAAATTCTCCCACCAACCCCGCGAGGGAGATAGTAGTTTCACTTACTCGCTTATAACTGAGGCAAAGTGACCGGAGGAAATAGGATTAGAAATTGGATTCAGTCGCGTCCCGCTTCTCCACTGGGAATTGGAGGCAGTGGAGCAAAAAGGCTACTGCGAAGCTTCAAGTTAAACTTGGCTTACCTGGAATATCATTTGACATGTGAACCCTTACCTTGGAATAGAGTGCAGATATTGCACGAGTATTTAAAATAGAACGTAGACAAGTAGATTTTTCTTATTTTAACTCTCCTCCAATCTCTGCCCTCTCGCGGTTTAAATTGGAGTAGCTCCCCTTCTCCCTTCCCCGCATTATGAAGCTAAACTAAAGGACATTGAGCCTTTTGGGAGTGGGAGAGACGCTTCAGAACTCGTTATTTTATTAATATGACTAATGTTTGAAGAAGTGTTGTTTATGTCTTGTTTGGAAACCAAGAGCTCGACTGTATCACAATGTCGTTCTTTGACCTTGAGTGATAACTTCTGGAAACCTACTTCCTCTTCTGTAAAGCAGATGTGTTGTAAATAACTGAGCTGAAAAGAGCTGGGGAGAAAGATGTGGTAGTCTGCTCCCATAAAGATTTACAGCCTTGGAAGCCCTGTAGGGCAGTTCCACTCTGTCCTGTAGGGTTGCTCTGAGTCAGAACCGACTGGATGGCAGTGCTTTAGTGTAGGCAAGGCAAATATGGTCGTGCCTGGCAAGCAAACACTGCTCAGTGAATATTACCATCTTCATCACATTTAAGTATGTTTAATTTGGAAGGCAAAGAACATTCCTAGTATCTCTTAAATTATAAAATATTTCAGTATTTTAAATGATAATAGCCCTATGAAGTTTTGTTGCCTGAATAAGTTTGGGTTAAATTAGGAAGTTAATAGTAACTTTCAGCCTCCAGGGTGGGTAAATTCTGAATATATGGTTTGTTGTTGTTGTTATGTGCCGTCGAGTCGGACCCGACTCATGGCAACCCCTCCTTGGGTTTCCAAGGCAGTATCACTAGGGAAGTAGATTGCCCCATCTTCTTTCCGAGGAGTGGCTGGTGGGTTTGAACCGCCAGCCTTCTGGTTAGCAGTCAAGTGCCTTAGCCACCGTGCTACCAGAGCTCCCGAATATATGGTAGAGAATTTAATCACTTCCTTCTGCTGTTAGTATTTAACTGCTTGTAGTTTCTCGAACAATACTGTTTCTCAGTTTTGTTTGTCCTGTCCCCTTTCCTTAATCACAATAAAGATGTTGTTGTTGTTGTTATGTGCCGTTGAGTCAGACCTGACTCATAGTGACCCCTCCTTGGGTTTCCGAGGCAGTATCACTACGGAAGTAGATTGCCCCATCTTCCTTCCGGGTAGTGGCTGGTGGGTTTGAACCGCCAGCCTTCTGGTTAGCAGTCAAGTGCCTTAGCCACTATGCTACTTTTATAATGTGCTTACAGAGTGTTAGGCACTTTTCAGAAACTCTCATCCAATATGTTAGTGATTGATTTAATCCTTGTAATACATTATTATGTTGTAATATATATGTGATACATATATCTAATCTTGATGCACATAATTGCATGCATGTCTGTCTGTCTGCATCGCATATGCAGACAGGCTATGCCTCAAACTTCCAGGAAGCCCTAAGACTGCTAGGAATGAGAAACATACACCCACTGGCATTATCCATTCCAAGGGGTGCTATGTTCATGTGTGATCAAGCTGGACACACGAGACACACACTGTTGGCTAAGTGAAAGCCATTATTATTTATGGAAAGCAAACAGGAAATAATAACAATGGAGTCTCAGAGAGAAAGAGCTTATCCTTCCCCAGACTACCTGTGTCCATTCTTATGTCGCTGGGTGGGTGTGCTGTGTTTCAGGTCAGATGCATTGTTCACATTCTTGCTGCTTCCGGTTACCACCACCATCCAGGGGCCTGCACAGCTCCCAGGGGTTCTGCTCTCCTGAGCCTGTCTGGGATTTGCCTTGCCGATGGGAAGACCCAGGTCTGATGGGAAGACCCAGGTCTGCGTAGTGTTCTCTCTTGCCGCTGCACTGCTGGAGCCTACTGGCTTCTACCAGCCTGCCCAAGAGGGAGGGTATATTGCACAAGGCACAGTTAGGCCTCTTCCCTGTATGGGCAAGTGTTAGCAGCAGGCACATTTCCTGCAAGGAGGTGCCCAACTCTCCGTGGGGTAGCAGCCTGTTGCAGCCGTCTCTCCGTGGGCTGACTGGTGGCCTGGGTGTCTGCGTCTTTGTCCCCCATGTCTGGTTTCCATAGTTAAGTACATGCTTGTCCAATGAACAAACATGATGATCACTTGCTAACCATTTTAAGAATCACTACTGATGCAAAAGAGTCAAAGTACATTTTATTTCTGCTTCCTGTTAAGTTCTACAAGTATTATTTCATGTCCTTTTTATTAGGCTGAGGGGTGCGGGGAGCCCTTAAGATGGTTTTGCATGTAGTTAAGAAACTTAAAAAATTATACATTATTTGTAAGTAGTTCTTAGTTTAAAAGTAATTTGTCTTCAACAAATGTTTGTAGATAATTGACTCTTTTCTGCTTACTTTCTTAGAAGCAATGTTGTAAATGGCTCTTAATTTGCAAGGGGATTTCCCAAAGCCATGTAATGTGATGTGGTAAAGAGTAGGGAGCCAGGGATTGGAGGAAGAGCAGAGTTGGCTTCCCTTCCTTGGTAAGGGGCTTGTTGTTGTTGTAAGGATTGGTAAGGGGCTAGCTCTATATAACTTATAAAAGAAAGCTTGAACTTGTACTGTCTCCCCCCTCTGTACTGTGTTCCTCAGATAAATCCCAGGCTTTATCACTCTTGGCTGAACTGGGTTACTCTGTTAGGCTCTTCCATGTTCTCCAAAGAGTTTCAGAATTAACCTGCTTCTCTACACCCATTTCAAATACCCATTCCTGTGTGGTGGGAAGTTTGCTGTCTGGGGAGAGGAAAGGGACTTATTTTACTAGCCCATATTAATGTTGAAATGACTAATAATATTAAAGTCTTTCCAGAAATTCACATACATTTTTAAAGAAGGTGTCAAAATGAGATAAAGTTAATGTAGAATAAAATTTTAGAGGACATGGCCATTTAGGCCTGCAAGCTTATCCTACAATCTCACCGTCTTTACATGTCATGTACAAACCAAACACCCTCTGTAAGCAGAGATTACAGTAGTCTTTGTTTCTGAAACTGCAAATGAAAGGAGTTCTGAGATCACTTTCCATCTCTCCACCTTCACCTTCTATTCTTTTCTTTTTTTTTAATTCACCTTCAGCTCTGATAGTAGCAGGGGAACATACAGGGACAGGAATATTGGGGTTGAAGGACTGTAATAGTTGGGTATTTGAGTTTACTCTTTTTCTCCCATGAACAGCCATCTAATGTTTTACATCTATAATCAAAAACTAAACCTAACTCACTGCCGTTGAGTCAGCTGCAACTCATAGCGACCCCTCCTTGGGTTTCTGAGGCGATATGGAAGTAGATTGCCCAGTCTTCCTTCCGAGGAGTGAATCTGAACCGCCAGCCTTCTGGTTAGCAGTCAAATGCCTTAGGCACTATGCTACCAAAGCTCCCTTTTTCTCTATAGTGTATACAGATAGTCCCCAACTTAGATGACGTTCCATTCCAGCAACTCTGTTGTCATTGGAAAAGAGTATTTCTTTTTTTGGGGGAGGGGGGTTCATTATTGTCTTTTACTATCAGTATCTTTATAAATCTGATCTCTTTATTTTGAGGGATTAGAAATATTACATGTGAACATCCGAGAATGATAACATCAGCAACTTACACACTTCAACATTGTATGTGTGTATATTATGAACAATTAAGATTTATAAAAGAGAAACCTGGGCAGTTGAAAGTGCACTTTGTCATACCTCGAATATGTCATGAGTCAGGGTCTGTCTGTAGTGTGTAGTAGACTTGTTGCTTGCATATCATTGTGTTCATAGATAACAAATGAATTGTAATAACTAACAGTATGACAATATCAGTTGCAGCATCAGGCCGGTGGCTGAATGGTATTAGAAAATGGTACTACAATGCTGCAGGGTTCAATAAACTAGGTAAGTATCTGTGCGTCCTTCTTCTGTTTCCTTTTTTCTTTTGCTCTTTTCTGAGAATGATGTTTTTGCAAGAATCATGGTTCCAAAAATATACTTGAATTGCTCCTATGCACATCAGAAGTGTTTTAAACTAGGTCACTGTTTTGTTGTTATTGTTAAATCCCTTTCCTTTTATCATTTTCAGAGAAGAGGAGTGGAATCATCTCAGTGGTCAAGTTGAAAATGATTTATATTCTTGAAATAGGACATTTTCCTTGCAATACACTCTCACATTTCCTCAAGTAGAGATTTTTTTCAAATATTAAAATTGTCTGACAGCTTTATAGTTATCTGACGCCTAAAATCTTTTATAGTTTATAATTTGCCATGAACTTTATCTTGTGCTATTGAAGCTTAATGGAAGCTTCAATAAATGTTGCTAACTCTTTTAGTAGACTACCATTTTTTTCTTTTTTTTAAAATTCATTTTATTGAAATTAATTTATGTACAGTGAAACACACAAAACTAAAGTGACATGGGTCAGTGCCTTTTTTTTTTTTTTTTTTTTTGCAGTGTTCCCTCCCTTCCCCTCCCAGCCCTGGCAACCAACAAAGAAGGTTTCCTTCCATACATAAACCTTTCCTTAACACTTCACAACAACAAATAATACTATATTTGTCCTTCTGTGATTGACTTATTTTACTCAGCATAATGTCCTTCAGGTTTATCCATATTATGTGGGGTTTTGCAAACTCTACATTATTCTTTAGTACTGCATAGCAGTCAGTGGTGTGTATGTACCATAGTTTGGTCATCCACTCTTCCATTGACGGGCACATAGATGTTTTCATCTTTTTGCTATAGTAAATAGTGCTGCGATATACATGAGTGTGCATATATCTGTTCCTATCCTGGCTCTCACCTCTCTGAGATATGTACCTAGTAATGGGATTGCTGGATCAAATGGTTATCTCCAATTCCAGCTTTTTAAGGAATCGCCATATTGCTTTCCACAGTGGTTATATCACTTCACAGTCCCACCAGCAGTGTATGAGAGTCCCAATCTCTCCACATCCCTGTCAGCATTTGTTATTTTCTGTCTCGTTGAACTTTGCCATTAGTGCTGGGGTGAGATGGTATCTCATTGTTGTTTTGATTGGCATCTCTCTGATGGCCAATGATTGTGAACATCTCTTCATGTATTAGCTGGCCTCCTGAATATTCTTGGTGAAGTATCTATTCATGTCTTCTGCCCGTTTTTCAATTGGATTGTTAATTCCTTTGGTGTTGAGGCGTTGCAGTTTTCTATAAATCTTAGAGTTAAGTCCCTTGCCAGATATGTAATTATTGGCAAATGAGAATTTGTTGCTGTCATTTTTGTTATGTGCTTTTTTATAGTGTTGATTTCTTTGTTCCATGTAATTTTCTATGCTGAGCTTGTTTTGTTTATGAGTCATGTTATCACTTCCTTCATTGCTGTTGTTGTAGTATTTGCTGAATATTTTTTGCTGGTCCTCTTCTTAATTTTGATGTGAAGGTTATCGTTTTTCTTTGAGATTATCCTGTGATTTATAGTTTTCTTCCCATTTTTAGAACAGTCCATTCTATCTTGTAGTTGTCTTGATTTCCCTACCATCTAGTTCTGTAACGATGCAGTTTTTTCCCTCTTTTTGGTTTGTAGTTGTCCTCATTTGTCAATTGATGTCTCTGGTTCCCTGTTTATAATCTTGTAGGCTTATTTACTTGGGATACTTCCATAGCTGGGTTGGTTTCTGGGTTATATCATCATGTGTGTTAATGGTCAGTTGGCTGTTGTTGCTTTGCTGTCCAAAGGATTCCCTTTAGCATCTCTTGTAAGGTTGGTCTGGTTTTAACAAATTCCCTTAATTTCTGCTTATCTGGAAATGTCCTAATTTCACCGTCATATTTGAGGGACAGTTTTGCTGGGTACATAATTCTCAGTTGGACATTTTTCTCTTTCAGGGTTTTATATATACCATCCCATTGTCTTCTCACCTGCATGGTTTCTGTTGAGAAATCTGAGCTTAGTCTTACTGGTTACCCCTTGTAGGTAACTTTTCGATTTTTCCCATACTGCTTTTAGGATTCTTTCTTTGTCTTTGGTTTTGGTGAATTTGATGATGGTGTGTCTTGGTGATTTTCTTTTGGGATCTGTCCTGTTTGGGGTTCGTTGGACTTTCTGAATTGATATATTCTCATCTTTCATCATACCAGGAAAATTCTCTTCCAACAAATCTTTGACAATTTTCTCTGTAGTTTTATTTGTCTCTTCCTGTTTTGGAATTCCACTGACACATAGGTTATTCCTTTTGATAGTATCCCACATGAGCCTTAGGCTTTCTTCATTTTGTTTTGATCTTTTGTGATTTTTCCCTTTCCAAAGAAGTGTTGAGGTATTTGCCTTCAGTCTCCCTGATTCTGTCTTCCATTGATTCAGTTCTGCTCCTTTGCCTGTTCAATGTCTTATCTATTTCTGAAAATTTAGTATTAATCTTCCAGATTTCTGTGTGTAGATTTTGTAATTTCTAATTTTTCATTTATTTTGTCATTTTGTTCTTTTACTGTCTTTCAAAATTGTTCCAGGGTTTTTTCTGTGTTTTCCTTGATCTGTCTCTCAATTTGTTGAAGATACCTAAATATAATTCTTTTGAATTCCTTATCAGGGAGTTCCAATGCTGCATCTTCCTCAGGGATGTGTTTTGGGTCTGTATCCTGGCCCTTTGTTTCTCCTGCTTTATCTTGCTTCTTTGTGTGGACTATGATGCTCTTTTGTCTCTGAGGCATTGTGATATTTTTGTATTTATATTTAATTGGTGATTGTATGTTGGAGTGACTTGCCCATGATTTTCATTTTCTTTGTTTTGTTTGTATGTTATCTACGCAAGCAGGGTACTGTGTTCTTCAATTTGCTACTTGACAGCACTTACGCACTCACTACCTGTCTCCTTTCCTGTTGTCAGCCTTTCACATGTCCCTGCCAACCTTGGCAAACAGAGCATATTCTTAGGTCCCTGGAATCCAAATGAGAATGCTATCACTTTAAAATCCAAAATAGCCGCTGCTTATAAACATTGAAAATGGCTGCGCCCTCGGTCACTTTAAGTATCCAAAATGGTCACCGCTTATAAACAATCAAAATGGCTGGGCCCTCCGGACAGTGGAAAGTCAACAGCTCAGGTTGTCTTCCTCCTTGTTGTTTTCTTTCCTAGTCATAGGCCACCAGCGCAGTTGTCCCTGCAGCCCTTGGTGACCAGGGCTGATCTTTAGGTCAATTCTCAGGTCCCAACACCGCTTGGAAATATTCAGGCTGTTGATCCCATCAGAGTAGCTGACAGTCTGCAGCTCTGACCATCTCTGTATTCACTGTTTTTTGTTCAAGTTTTTCCACTAATTGATGCCTAAGCCACTTCTGTATAGTTCCTTTCAAAGCTCAGGATTCCAGGATTATCTTATGTATCTCTGTCAATTGGTTTTTCTTTTCTTTGTTGAAGAAGGTCTGTGTCACTTGTCTGCCTATTCCTCCATCTTACCGGAAGTCTTGTAGACTACCATTTTAAGGTTCTTTAATACCTTGATCTCAGATTGAAGTATAAGAAAATAGGACTATAATTTATTGATACGTATTTAAAAGAAATGTAGATATTTAAGATATTTTTACAGTTGGTAAGATAAAATGTGAATATTGTGGCAATGAATATTAAAAGGTCAGATAGTGTTTAAGAAATAATCCATTACTATGTATAATATGCTTTGCTAGGTTTCCATTGTACTTAGTGACATGAACACTTGCTATTTCACCAAAATCTTAAATTACAGATAATATATTTTACTCATTAAAAAATTCCTGAACTTAGAGTTGAATGTTCAATCTAACTCTCATGTTTTCTATCATAGGGTTAATGCGAGATGACACAATATATGAAGATGAAGATGTAAAAGAAGCCATAAGAAGACTTCCTGAAAACCTTTATAACGACAGGATGTTTCGCATTAAGAGGGCTCTGGACCTGAACATGAGGCAACAGATCTTGCCTAAAGAGCAGTGGACAAAATACGAGGAGGTAGAACAGCTTTTATATACCTGACAATGTTGGCGAGTAAGGATTGTGCGTTAGTAACACTAGAAACACAGTTATTCATCTAGTGCTTTAGCAGTCACAAAATTCTGTCACACAAGTATCCTTATGGCAGACGGTCCAGAGAGGTTAGTAGAGCAAGTGTTAGCCCATTTCCAAAAAAACAAACACCCACTGCTATCAAGTCGATAGCAACTCATAGAGACCCTAAAACACAGAGTAGACCTGCCCCATAAGGTTTGTAAGGCTGTAAATCTTTATGGAAGCAGACTGACTCATCTTTCTCCCACAGAGCAGTTAGTGGTTTCAAACTGTCAGCCTTTTGGTTATCAGCCAAATGCCTTAACCACTTCATCACCAGAGCTCCATTAGCCCATTTTAGAGGTGAGGTGACTTCCACAATCACTAAGCGTGTCTCTAATGTAGAGAGCCAGCACTAGAGTCAGGTCTTCTGCCTCTCAGGCTGTTTTTTTTTTTTTTCCCCCTCTACACTACAGTGTACTTCCTTAGATTAAAAGATCATGTTTGTCTGATCTGTCTATTGAATGGCCCTCACCCCTTGAACAGGGTAATGTACATAAAAACCTGTATAGTCTTGTTTCTTTCTTTTTCTCTGACAGATTTCCCTCTCATAACTTACCAAAGCAACTTATTATAATCTCTTTTGTGAGTTTTTGTATATTAGGAAAATACTTCGTCCTTAGTCCGCATGAGAATATGTCTTCAGCTGGAAATAAAAAGCAATTAATTTTGATGGGTTTCTTTGATTGTTCAAGACATGTTGCCTCTGTGGGATATATTCATATGTGATAGTGACCTGTAATACTCTTCTTTCATTTGTTTGTCAGGATAAATTCTACCTTGAACCATATCTGAAAGAGGTTGTTCGGGAAAGAAAAGAGAGAGAAGAATGGGCAAAGAAGTAATTGTGTACTTGAACTCTGTGGGTGCAGCTGTCCTCAAAGGACTTTTATGAAATTGGTTAAACCTGAAATGGATAGTTTAAGAATTATTTGGGCTGCCAACATGTTGCTTTAAATAAATATCTATTGTAATCTTTGTTGGACAGTTTGAATTCTTTTCAAACTTCTAAGATATATTTCATCAGCATTTAACTGCTTCTTAACGGCTCAGAGAGGCCACTCCAACCAGTTCTCCCTGGTGGATAAGCTCTCAATTTTCTGAAGGATGTACCATTATAGTAAGTAGAGTAATTACCTTGATGTTGCCTTTGTGGATGTGGTAGTTAAATTTGTGTATCAACTTGACTGGGCCTGGTTGAGTGGCTTAGCAGCTGGTGGTGGTTATTCCCCATGATGAGACTGGCAATCAACTCCATGGTGGGATCTACCACAAGCAGCTGAGTAACTGCCTTTGGGATGTGGGCTGCTTCCTGTATAGAAGGAGAAGCCTTGGTGATAGTCTCTAGCTTATGACATGCTTGGGCCCTGCATGTAGCTATGTTGTTGTTCAGCAGCCTGCCATGCTTTGCCGGCCTTGGGACTTACAATGGACTTAAATTAACAGCCTGCCATGTGGTTTGGTGACATCGGGACTGTGCCTTTTCACTTGTCGACCTTGGACTTGACAGCCTTAGTAGCTAGCAGCTGCCTGAATAGAGAGATGCCTCTAGCTTCAGTGGGCCGAGAGCAAGAGGCAGAGCTGTAGCCCAAGGATGAGGGGCTTTCACACAGCCCCTAGAGCCTGACACTTTGAACTTGGACTTAAACCCTCCAAACTGTGTGAGAATAAACTCCTGTTTGTTAAAACCATCCCATTTGTCGTATATTCTTGTCAGAGCTGCACTAGGTAACCAGAACAGTAGATTAACAAAGTACTTGGAAGCCCAGTCAGGGCCTAACTTGCAGGTGTGAAATGAGTGAGGGAGAAGTGCTACTGACTTTATTTCACCTGAAGCAAACAACGTTTCAACAGACTGGCTCTCATACCTTATAAGCTTACCACATGAAAGTTAGGATTCTGTCCCCAATTTGCCAAGATTGGGAGATTGGGAACCAGGACCTAGTTCAGCCCTTTCCAACCACAGGCCTCTAAACATATTTGATACTGCATACTATCATTTGGGGGGTGGAGGGGAATGTAGCCCCAGTATGGAACATGGGTATATAAAAGTTATGTATATATATTCCTGTGATAATATGTATAAGACAAAAATATAAAGAGAAATACTTTCTCCCCATATCCTAGTAACTTTGACTTTGGAGCTATTGGTGCAAAGTATATTGTAATGGTTGGATAATAGTCCAAAATTTTAAGGTTACAGATTGATTTTTATATAAATTAGAACTATTCAATAATGTCATTCTCACCCTTAAATTCTGAATTGTTTTCCTTGAAAGTGAAAGGGTTGGAATCCTGCCTGGGAGGAAGGGAACTGTGGAGCCTGCAGCCTCTGCTGTGGTCCACAATAAGCAGACATGGGGCAAGAGATTTGATCAGGACCTTACCATCAAGCACAAAACAGTAGGAGAAACAAGTTTTATGTTACTTTAAAAATTCCTAGAACAAAGAATCAAAAATGTGTGTGTATGTGTGGTATATATATGTGTATGTGTGTATGTATATATATTCCCACACACAAAGTGCTACATTCATTTATGTTTGACTATAAGTTAAATACCCTATCTGCCGGATCCTCATTTGATGATGGTTTTGCACTTAGTGAAAGCAGTTTTCCTTTAACAGTCTCAATATTTTCTAAGATTTGGAATTTAACTTTGCAGTCAACTTGTATTGTTGGAACAGTATCTCAAATGATAGAGAAATTGGTAAAGATGTTAATGGTAAGGGAGAGGAGCCCTGGTGGTGCTGTGATTAAGTGCTAACTGAAAGGTTGGTGGTTCAAACCCACCAGCTGCTCTGGGAGAAAGATGTCTACTTCTGTAAAGATTGACAGCTTGGAAACCCTATGGGGTAGTTTAACTCTGTCCTATGGGGTCACAATAAGTTGGAATCAGCTGATGGCAGTAGGTTTGTTTTGTTTTTGGTAATGTTAAGAGATATTTTAGGGAAGGATTGTTTGTATAAGGGCCAATTGATTTGTAAGTACTTTTGTATCATGAAGCTTCCCTACCAACTCTATTAAGTAATAAGATGATAAATTCTCAATCAAGAACCTCCATTGCTTTAGTTCAGGCTAGTCATGCTCCAATTTCTTTGAGACCTTTTCAAATGAATTTGAATCTCATACATTGCTGATGGGTATTATATAATCCATTTGGGAAACATTTTGTCAGTATGTATCAAGAACCTCAAAATTCTAAATAATTCCCATAACAGTCATCACTCAAGTGATTATCTCATGATGATTTTATATTAAGCACTGCATTTTACAATCACTTAATTTCACAGAAATGCAGTGAGATAGGTACTATTACCTCTCCTTTACAAGTGAGGTAAGGAGTTCTAGTGGTGCAGTGGTGAAAGCATTCAGCTGCTAACCACAAAGCAGTTCAAACCCACCAACTGCTGAAGAATAAGGCTTAGGTGATAGAAACAATGCTGAAATGATGAGTTTTACAAGACCAATGACTTGCAAATACTTTTATTCAAAAACATAACAACTACACACATGGACCTTGCCAGATGTAATACACAGGAATCAAATAGACGACATCTGTGGAAAGAGACAATGAAGAAGTTTAGTATCATTAGTAAAAACAAGGCCAGGGGCCAAATATGGAACTGACCAATTGTTAATGCAAGTTCAAGTTGAAAGGAGCTTTGGTGGCAGAGTGGCTAAAGCATGTGGTTGCTAACCAAAAGGTTGACAGTTCAGATCTGCCAGCTGCTCTGCAGGAGAAAGATGAGGCAGTCTGCTTCTGTAAAGATTTACAGCCTTGGAAGCCCTTTGGGGCAGTTCTACTGTGACCCATAGGGTCTCTATGAGTTGGAATTGACTTGGTGGCAGTGGGTTTGGTTTTTGGAAGTTCAGGTTGAAGCTGAAGAAAATACCATGAGAGCCAAAGCACAACCTTGATTATATTCCACCTGAATTTAGAGACCATCTCAAGAATAGATAGGATGCATTGAACACTAATGACTGAAGACCAGAGAAGTTGTGGGATGACATCAAGGATATCCTACATGAAGAAAGCTAAAGATGATTAAAATGACAGGAAAGAAAGAAAAGACCAATATGGATATGAGAAGAGACTCTCAAACTTGCTCTTGAGTGTAGAATAGCTAAAGTGAATGGAGAGAGAGAGAATTATCTCAAGGAAGTGGCTTCGCCTGGCTGTAGAGACTGGCAAATCCAAAGTCTGTGGGTCAGGGGTCAGGTTGGAGGCTTCTCCTGACTCACGCAGCTGCAGAGGCTGATGACTCCAAGATCGGAAGATAAGATGACAAGCTGCTGGCTCACAGGTTGCAAAGGCAACAATCCCAAGATTGTTAGGCAATATGTCAAGTCCAAAGAACCAAGGATCAGATGCGGTTGAGCCAGATGCAGGATCTAAGTCTAGCAAAAAGCCAGAGAGCTTGGCCAGAACATCCTATCTATTGGAAAACTTCCCCAAGGAAACTGCCTTTCAGTTGATTAGCTGCTCATAGCAGATATCATCATGGTGGTGAGTACATAATATCACATCTCATGGGGGATGACTACATCATAACTGTCAAACTACTGAGAATCGTGGCCCAGCCAAGTTGACATACAACCATAATCATCACACCAGCTGACTGGAAGAGATCCATATTTACGCCTATTCCAAAGAAAAGTGCTCCAAAAGAATGTGGAAATTATTGAGCAAAATCATTAATGTCACACACAAGTAAAATTTTGCTGAAGATAATTTGAAAATTGTTGCAGCATTCTATCAACAGAGAACAGTCAGAAATTCAATCTCGTTTCATAATAGGATGTGCGGTGAGGGACATTGCTAATGTCACATGGATCTAAACAGAAGAAATGAAGTGAGAGAGAAACATGATTTCAAAGGGCAGCTAAGGAGACAAAATATAATGAAATGCCTGGAATTAGAAAACCAAAATGGAGGAACACACTTGGCATTTCTCAAGGTGAAAGAACTGAAGGAAAAATTCATTCCTTGAGTTGCAATATTGAAGGATTCTATGGGCAAAATATTGAATTTTGCAGGAAGCATCAAAAGAAGATGGAAGGAATACATAGAGTCACTGTACCAAAAAGAATAATGATTGCCCTTGAACCATTTCAGGAGGTAGCATAAGACCAAGGCCCAATGGTTTTGAAAGAAATCCAAGCTTTACAGAAGGAACTGGTGAAAAAGAACGTTTGAGGAATTGACAGAATACCCATTGAGATCTTTCAACAAGTGGATGCAGCACTGGAGGCACACACTTGTTTATGCCAAGAAATTTGAAAGACAGCTACCTGGCCAACCAACTGGAAGAGATCCATATTTGTGCCTATTCCAAAGAAAGAGTATCTGACAGAATGCAAAATTAGCGAACCATATCATTGATGCCACATGCAAGTAAAATTTTGCTGACAATAATTCATAAACGGTTGCAGCAGTATTGACAGGCAACTGCCAGAAATTCAAGCCAGATTCAGAAGAGACCATGGACCAAGGGACACTATTGCAGATGTCACATGGATCTTGACTGAAAACAAAGAATACCAGAAATGTATTTACCTGTGTTTTATTAACTATGCAAAGGCATTCCACTGTGTGGATCATAACAAATGATGGATAACATTGCAAAGAATGGGAATTCTGGAACTTGTAATTATGCTCATGAGGAACCTGTACATAGACCAAGAAGCAGTCATTTGAACACAAGAAGGGGATACTGCATTGTTTAAAATCAGGAAGAGTGTACATCAAGGTTGTATCCTTTCACCATACTTGTTCAGTCTGTATGCTGAACAAATAGTCTGAGAAGCTGGACTATATGAAGAAGAATGTGGCATCAGGATTAG